CCGGCCGCCTCCCATCCTCAGGTGCTCTGTGTGGTGGGTGCCAGGTGGACAACAGCTTCTCAGGGAGCAGAGCGGGGAGGGATGGGATTTGAGGTTAGAGCGCTTGAAAGAGCCCCTGTGCTCCCTGTTAGGACCCCCTGAGTCCCATGGGGTGGCTGTGCCCACCCTGGGTCCAGGACTGCCCCCAGAGGACCCTCGTTCAGCGCATCTGGTTCTCAGGAGCCTTCTGGCTGTACTTCTTCCGGGAGAGGTGTGTTTGTTCCCCTGGAAGTCCATAGCACGTCCAGCATCCTTCAGCAGCTCCATCTTTCAATGCGCCGACTCTCCTTGAGGCTTCCTAAGTCATAGTCCGGCTCTCGCCTGTGGACGTGCGCGGTGGTGGAAAGCTGGCATGGCCCGCCTGGGCCTTCTCTGCTCTAACGCCCTAAAGAGGTCATCGCTCCCAGTGTCACCCATTGGTCTCCAGATAGGGCTTGTATGGGCACTGACTGTGGCCCCAAGGGTGAAATCCTGACCTCATCGTCTCTGATCACAAGGCTGCACATTGCCCAGTTGTGGAGACTTTTCCTTTCTCGATAAAATAACTCAAAGCTAAATAAAACCACACTGCCAACAAGTCTCCCCGTATGAAAGTCCACTCACAGTCATCCTCTCCGGGCCTGTGAGTGTGAAACTCTCTGGGTGAGAACAAAACCTTGTGTGCCTGTGTTGGTGTCTGTCCCTTGCGAGTCTCTTAAAATGAGGCCAGGCATTGTTGCCTCTCTCCTCAGGAAGAAAGAGAGTGGTGACCAGTCAGTTGACGGTCACAGTCATTCCGCCCGTCCCCAAAATAGAATTCCAGGGAAGGCTCTGATTATGAAGGGCTCGGCCTGGGAGGGTTGTTTTGTTTCCGAACTGGAGAAAGACTGAAATGAACTTGCCCAGTCGGTCATCCATCAGAAAACACCTTTTGTTGTTGTTGGGCCAGGTTTTTAAAAACCAGAAACCTGCAGACTCTGAGGAGTGAGCTTGGTTGATCTTCTCATCCTGATGCCAAAAGTTAACACACAAAGTTTGGGCTCTTGACTGCTCCCAACGCGCGGTGCCGGCTTCTAACGTAGCCTGCATGAGCGGGCGGAAGCTCAGGCTTGAGCGTGGAAACACGGGGGTGTGGGGTGGAGCGCGGGGGCCCTAGTGGCAATCTGAGAAGCCATTCTTCACTGAGGTCAATGGAGGGTCTGGATGGCCATCCTGGTGCCGAGGGGCCTGGGTAGCAAATGTCACTTCACAAGGTGTCTCCATGCTCCCCAGTAAAAGGTCATGTTTCATCATGGGGTTCACAGTTGGCCTCTTGCTCGGCCAAGTAGGAGTTCATTCCCAGCAGCGAGCAGGTCATGCCCACGTCTTCCTGGTGGGGCCTCTAATTGGTTGGAAAGAGATGCTTCCAGGATCCAGAGTCCTGATCATTTCAGGGTTTCTTGGCAAGAGCAGATGAGCAGCCATGGTGCTCCTGGTGCTCACAAGGAATAGGATTTAAGTCCTTAAGGAACACGAACCACCACGTCATGATTTCCAGGGCCTCTGAGCCTGCAGCAGAGCAGGTCTGGGTGCAGTGCCCTCATCCTGGGGCCCCCGTAGGGCCTGCTGTGGTCCAGTCAGGGGAAGACACACAACAGCTGGCTTCATGGAGCTTGGATTATCATTAACGAATTGACTTCCCCAACTGGGAGGAGCTTTGAAGAGATGGGATCAGGTTGGAGTGGGATGGCCCATGAGGGCAGGGGATAGTGGGAACCATTGGGTGGGGCAGGGGATAGTGGGAACCATTGGGTGGTCAAGGAGGCCCTCTCTGGTGAGTGGAGTTTGCAGTGTTGCACTCCCCCACCACCACCACCCACCATCAATACAACCAGAGCTGACATCCTCTCTGATTTTATACCCAGCAATAGTATCAACACCAGCACAGTGTGACATCAGCAGCCGTAATTTCTCTCTGGGAAAAAGCCAGCAGGAGGGCCTGACCTCATTCCCCGCTCAACCACCACCATGGCCACCACTGCCACACTCACATCACCACAGACACCCACCACCCCTCCCACAGGACATGCAGGCCCAGGCTCTCTGTGACCCTCCCTCCCCCACCCAACTCATGGAGTCTCTGCCACAGCCTTGCTGCTCAGCGGGGTCATGATTGACAGGCCCTGACATTTACCAAGGCTGCAGTCTTGATAAAAGGCAAATTCTGAGCCCACACATCTGGGGCAGGACCCGAAAATCTGCATTTCCAATACGCTCCCAGGAAATGCTGCCGGTCCAAGGACCACGCTTGGAGTAGCAATACTTATCCATGTCACCAGAAGGTGGGAAGCATGTCCCTTTTAGAAGTGGAACTATGGGAGTTTGAGACAGGGGCTCCCTTCTTTAAC